ATTTTTAAAATAATAAATTATATGGAGCGAGAATTATCAAAGGCGCTAACCTCTGAACTCCACCAATAATTTAGCGCCTTTCCTGAGGCGTTAAACCTTAGTGCCTTTTCTAAGGCGGCAAACTTTAATAGCGCCTTTTAAAGGCGTTCTTTAACGCCTTTGTTTTACCAGTGGAGGCACTCAGCGCTTGACAGATGCGAAATACATGGCTAGCAAACTAAAACTCTTGATTTGGAGTCTTGCATTCCCTTGGCGGAACACACATCGCATTGCATCAAATAATACGGTTTTCAAACTAGTCGAATCAAGATCAAAATGTTCTTCGGACAAGGCAAATGCACTTGTGACAATAACCTGCTTCGCTGGGTGTGTGTGTGTAGAGCAGCCCTAACTGATATAACGTCTCCTTCGTCACTCAACTTACCCTCAACATTTGTGGAGTAATCTGCGTGCTGCGAACACCATTACCAAGGCTGTGAATGACGAGTTCATTCTGAACTTGAAGCAGGGCCCAACGGTGCTGATTCAAACCTGGCTTAACACTGTCAAGTGCGTCTAAAAGCCGCTGTATTTTATGCAGGTAAATATCAATTTCATCTGAAATTATAAGGCATAAATAACATTACGATACACAGAAACATGGACACGAATAGGCTTTGAAATTGACGAAATATATCAAAATTTTCAGTATATATGCACAGTATATGTACACTCATGTATATGTGCACAGTATATATTTTTTAATATCAACACATTAATCTCTTTAATGCAGCAGACGACTCTGCAAATATGTTCACAAGTTCTTGCTCAGCTTGCGAAGCCCATGGTGAACCAGAATGAAACGTCGCTCGTATCGCAAGCTCAGCAATAGGACCGAAGGTCCTGTCTAGTTATACATCAAGATTTGCCGCTGCAGCAAGCAGCTCCTAGCGTGGCCCACACTGATATATAAAGTGTGCAACTGACACACACTTTAAGGTGTTTAACACCGTGTAGCACACTTCTATGTGTGCAACACGAGTTTGAATAGTTGGAGGTGTTCAACAGGTGTGTTGCACACTTTTAAATGTTCAACCTGACCGACGAGCACTATAGCTCAACGCTCAAGCGGAGCCACTGGACTTTCCAAGCCCTTCCTAGTACTGCCGCCGCACGGCCTGTGCACGCCTAGAGAGGAGGCCAGTCGGGCGAGGGACGGGGCCGAGGCGGAGACTACGCGCGGCTGGTGATGGCGGGTGGGGGGCATCGAGTGGGCGCGGGCCTTTTAAACTGTCTTTTCTGGCTAAGGATATTTCTGATAGCGCATTACCCATTATGTCACCCGCTCTATTCCAAAAATGTTCCACATCCGTCTCCGCAAATCGCTTTTAGACACGACGAACCATCCTCGCTATATACCGCATTAAAATATCACAAAAATAATATAGTTCTTAAATTCGTATCATCTGCTTTCACGATCCGTTCCCGGACGGATTTTTTTTTAAAATGTAGCTCCCTTTAGTTTGAATAGTAAATAGGGTGTTCCAAAAAGAAATATGACAGTTGCATGTATTTTAACTAGCTTGAGTTGGGTTCATGAGTGACAATAGTGAGTGTAGGTTTTTTGGGTCGGCAATTTTAGTGCTTGTGTCCCTCTGCACCTCGAGGATAATATAAACTAAGAGGGAGGGGGGGAGGGCGGGGGGTAATCAAGGGCTTGCATCTTGTATCTATATCAAAAGGGTTGTGATCCAAACAAATCTACGTACGGTATGGTGCTCACCTTCGGAAAAGATCTTCATGAAAACTTGCATCTGAATTCGTAGATGTATGCAGCCACCAAACTCAGAGTTAAGAACGAGACGATGATTGCTGTGCAACGGTCCTTTCGGGAAGATTGCCAGCTTCAGCATAGGATCATACTCGTCGAATCCCTTCATCATCGACTTTACACACAATAGTGTTGTCTCCAAGGCAAGCGTAGGTGGGACTAGATGGGATTGTCCACAGTTAACGCAACGGTACTTGTTGTCCTGCACATACCTGGGCGATGCTTCCGCCACCATAGGCTGCTGTTGGCCATGATCTAGAAAATAAGGGTTATTTTCTACTGTAAAATACTTAGACACTAAGTTCTTTACAATGTTACAAATTAAATGTTTCCATTACGGAGAGCTTTATAACTGAAAATACAGGCGCTCTTGGTAAATGTGCGACGCAAAGCCTCCGATTTAGTTTCTTGTAGGGAAGCGCAGCTTTATAACCTGGACTCCATCTTACACCGTTTGGGCCCTAGAGGGTCTTTTTCGACAAAAAAAATGTGAAATTTGCGGTACTGAACATTAAGCGGTGAAAGGGGGCCTCAACTCGCACATTTGCATTTCGTTGTGCATAAACACGTCCAGAATAATTTTAAAGAGCAATAATAATGCACAAAGTGTACATAGTTCTGCATAAAATAATGGTTGCTTCTGATTTTGACTTGCCCGCGGTGGTTTTAACAAGCTAGGCCGCCAAACGAAGTTGCCAGCTTCTGTTCGCTCCGTAGGCAACTCCGTTCTCGTCAGGGGCCAGGCCTAGCTTGGCCTGCCGGCGGCGTTTGGTAGGGCCCGCGGCCCGACCTCGACCTATACACACTAAAACCTCATGCATTTTGTTGTGCATAAACTTGCAGGATTCCATGCAGCCATAAGTATGCACAAATTTTATGCATAATTGTGTACAAAATGTGCATAATTATGCACTCATTTAGACTATATTTTTTGTGCACATCTCAACCGGGTGGAGATTTGAATCCAGTAAGTTAGAAACGAACCTCCTTTTTCTTGACAATCATTTTTTTGTCTATCATTAAGATGCGATGCAAATTCCTCACTTGCTAGAATACTATCTGCATCCGGTTGAGATGTGTACAAAAAAGCGTCTTCCTATGGACAGTAAAAGTCCTTTCAGATTTAGTGTGCAGAAAATAGAAAAGTGAATTCTCAAATAAGCTCCGCGAAAGTACAAGAGATCATCATAATTTAACAGGTAGGTTGTTTAACAGAATTTCAAGCAATTTGTTTATTTAGAAAATGATTTTCTTACAGTGCCTCTATGACTGTGATCGTTGTTGCTTACCTCGACAAACGGGGCAACATGGTGAGCCGAGGAACAGACCAGCAGAAGTGGGATCGGCACACATGCGGCACTGGCAATCGATGTTCCAGCCTCGACACAGCAGGGAACGCCTTGTCACTCCATCCTGTAGCCCGGCAGACACCCTTAATTAGACTGGCGCGTCGGTTGAAACTAACTGACGATAAGATCACGGCAATACACCGCCGCACGCCCGTTCAGCGGGTCAAAACAGAGGGGGAGGGGAAGGGG